ATAGCAATTAGATAATAATTATTAATAATATTTTATTACGATTTGGATTTGACAAAAACTGTTCATCCATTAAAGTAATATAAAAGAGCCCATAACAGAATATTTAAAATTAACATCGCATTTATAAAACCAGAATAGTTCATCCTGCCTAGCTTATTATGCATTGATTGTACTTCAGAATATGCAACTGAGGAGCTAAAAATCAATTTTCGTTCAGTTTATTGAACGCACCCTTTTTTAATAATTCTTCTGCTCTATGAAATTGTAGCACGCATACTCGGTAACCAAAAATAAGGGCGACAATGCACGACAATCATATTTCGAATAAATTATTTAAAATAACTTACTTGGGTATCTCTTCTTGTGCTCTACTCCAATATCTTTTGCTTTGGCGAAATATTTCACTTTTTCTGATTCATCCAGACATTTCCAGCTCTTCCCCAATCGTTTACTTATGTCTTTATTTGATTCCTGGGGAAACTGTTCGGCCATTTTTTTACGATTTTCGTTTGCATAAAGCATAAAAGCATTTGCAGGCCTTGGTATTTTTAACAAACGTTTAGAATGTAAATTATCTGTAACAAATTTTAACACTCTTATTAAGTACTTGATGCGTTTATAGAACTTAATAAAAAGGAAACAGTAATTTAAAAAATGGCTTCAGTAGCTCACATTGTCAAAAATGTTTTTTTTTTTGTTATAAACACAAGACAGTTACTTTTGAACAGAGAATAATAACAATTATAATTCTAAAACGTGAAATATTTGATATCAAATACATTTATACGTACGAAAAACAATGTAAAAACCTCCATAACAAATCGTAACCAACAGCAAAGTTTTGTTAAAAAGTTTAAGTTAATAAAAATAAGCAAAATAATTAGAATGTACAAACTACTAATAACAAAACAATAATATAAACTAAAACTGTTGGTGTTAAGAATACTTACAATACTAAACTCCTTGGAAAAGGATAATCTAAAATATTGGATCGATATTGTTTTTCGGGTCGAATGTCATGATCCATGGAATTTTGAAGTTCTAAATTGATATTAGCACCTGCCAAAACACTACGAAATTCTATGAATTACGACAAAACAGCCCGCAAAACAATATCGAATTGATTTACCTTATGTGTAAAACTGAAAACTACAAGATATTGTGGTCTGCTAGTAAATGCCTATAATCCAAAATTCTTAGAAAACAATTCGAAAAACTTCACTTATTAGATGAACCCAAAGTTAAAGAAACTGTGGATTCCTTTTCTTTCTCTTATTACAATGTGTAAAATATCGGAAGCAGTGCCTCTTTGTCGCTCGTTCCGCGCTCTCGCTTG